GGTGACATTGGTGGTTTTAAGTTGTTATGTGAACCTTAAGGGAGTTATGGGACAGTAGTGAATGGTGTGTGAGTGTATATGAATATCGTTGTAGATCACCAAAATGATTGCATCTTTAATATCATTGGACTAAGTACAATGACAATAAATAATACTACTACTACTACTACTACTACTACTACTACTACTACGGGCAGCAAAATGACTTGAGATATCCCTGCCTTATAGCTAAGCAGAAGGAAAGAAACATGGCTTGCCTCCCTCAATTTTCCGCTTCCCTCTGCTGCCTCACCAGCCACAGTCGGGACACTCATCTGGAGCTTCCTTCTAGATCCCATTGTATTTCTTCCCACAACAGGCATTACTCCTAGTGGACACATAAAGATTTTATATACTGAATCAGCCCCTTGGTCCATTAAGGCCAGTATTTTCTACTCAGACTGGTAGCAGTGATATGGTCTCAGGTGTAGGTCTTTCATAATACCTGATATCTGAGATTTTTGACTGGACATGCCAGGGATTGAAATTGGGACCTTCTGTATGCCAAGCAGATGCTCTGCTTTTGAGCCACAGCTCTGGCTGGGGTCTAGCATTTCTCTGTTGTTTTTCCTTCCTTCTTCTTTCTGTTATTTTCCCTTCCTTTTGATTGCAAAAGCTTTGTTGAGATTGCACACAGACAGGGGAAGTGATGCTGCACGGGCAGATTTTTCAGTCAAACCAGTGATACCGTCTTGGGCAGCATACTGTTCACACAGCAACCAACCTGTTGCCTGGAGAGCTAGACAACCAATACAATAAATCCTGAGAAAACCCCAGCACCAAGACTACTCCTGATGTAGTGAAAATATTATGCAATACACCTGTGCCACAATTCAGTGGTTTTTTTATGGAATATATGGAACTCCTGTGCCCTCAGAGCCATAGTTTCCATAGGGGTATTAGCTTTTTTTTTTTTACCCATATGCTCCCCTCCACTGAAATTACTTTCCCCTCACATCTTATCACAGTATGTATGGTGCTGTAGCCCCAGTGAGAAATTAACCCCTACATCTGTATTTACAAGATACACACACACATCAGGTACACACACATATCAGGGACTGCACATTTTTGTTTTACATGTAGCCAATATGAGTATTGCTGTGTCTAATTCCAAAGTGCTGGCTCCTTTGCAGATAGCAAAACCTGTGCAGTGGGGTCAGGCATGAAGGGGGGAAGAGTTTTGCACATCTAGAAGAATCCCCAGTATGCAGAAAAGGGCAACTTCCTCTCAATCCCCAAATTTGGGCAACCCCTCAATACAGGGCTTCTACAATCTGCACATGTATCTGGGAAGTATTGCAAGAGGAATAAGATTGCAAAGACAACATTTTGGGTTGTCTTGGCAACCCGATATTGAGATGTGCAGCTCATATTGTGCTGTGTGACCTCACCTTACAATATGATGCCCTCAGCCAGGGATCAAACATAGGATTGTACTCCCATTTCTCAGGCAAGGGTGCCATGCTCCGCACAGAGGCCCCATGGCACAGTAGGAGCTGGACACCTTGGCATCCGGCCAGGTTGCTGTGGCAACCCAAAATGGCATCTGGAGTCTCACAAGCTGACCGTGCAAGACTTTGAGCACCTTTTTGGGTTGCCATAACTAAATGTCCCAAATATCACAAGGGGAGAGGGGATGGAGGAAGGAAGGAAGGGAGATAGGAGGGAGGAGGGAAAAGGGAGATAGGGGATGAGAAGCCGACCCCTTTCCGGTAACCCTATTGTTTCATACTGTTTTTTGTGTTTTATTTCCTACATGCTCATATACAAAATGGACATTTATCCCCAAGATTACTCTGAATACAACTTATTTCTGTTTTCCTCCCTTTCAGATTTTTCGACGAGCTGACAAGAATGGTGAGTGACCTATATGATTTCTTGTTCCTATTTCTTATGTTATTAATGAAATATGATTAAATGGTATATCTATTTCATCTCAGAGGCCTGATGTGGGCAGCAATATACTTAGAACAAATTTAGAGTCCAGTGACATGTGCAAGGCACACTTTTTCAAATACGTTGGAATCAGTGTTCCCTCTAAGCTGAGTTAGTGTGAGCTAGCTCACACTAACTCAGCTTAGAGGGAACATTGGTTGGAATGGTAGGTAAGGTTCAAACTTATAGACAGGGACTTAGCAAATTAACAGGTAGCATGATGATGTTTAAGATGAAAGCTCATACCTTGAATAAACCTTTGTTGGTCTTAAAGGTGCCCCACTGGACTCTAAATTTGTTCTACTGCTTCAGACCAACACAGCTGACCATCTGAATCTAACAATATACTTAGCAGAACATTAAAACCTCAGAAGTATCTGGCTACAAACAAAGCAGCAAATAACATTTCCAAACCTATCTCTACAAATATGAGGGCTGAAAGCATTTTCCTAAATGGAAGCTAAGCCCACCAGGCTTCCAAAATCCTCATCCAGTGATGAATTCCATGCATCATGGGGTTTCGTGGTACACCCAGTCTGTCCTGTAACACTGCTGACCCATTCTGTAGCCCATGAATAATTTTTAACCCCATATGACTCTGTTCATTACTGTCCATCTCTATGACAACTGCTGTCTGTCATTTCCCATATTCATAAGAATCCGTGCCCTTGCTGTGCCTCTGGTCAGGCAAACTCACATGTCAGTCTTTTGTTCTGCCTGTGTCAGCTTCACCTGCAAATCTTGACCCCTTCACTGCTATTTTGGCATCTGCTCTAACCTCTATATCCCTTGTGGCTATTGTGTTCGTACTCCTGTCACTCTTCAGAAACTGATCTGCTTTTCTGTGATGACATTTCTAGTTTTATGTACTCTCAGTTCATGTCAAAATCCAACTTTGTTCCACATTTTGTGTACTTTGCAATCCCCGCAGTACCCTGCAGTCCTGGTTATTTTTAATTCCCATTTTACAGATGTCAAAGTGAGGCTGCTCCATATTTTGGCTCTTTTGGCTGTTTGGCTGTATTTTAGCCCAGCTTTCCTAGGTCCACCTGTGACAGAGGAGGTAGTGCAAATGAGCCACTAGCATCTGGTACAGATGACTAGTTGGTTGGTTCCTATCAGTTCCATTGATGGCCTCTATGCAAACTTGGAATCAGGGCACCTGCTTCACTACAGCACCTACACCCCCATCTAAGTTGCCACTCAGTAATGGTGGCCAGTAAATGTACAGGCCCTTACAGCACCCCCCCCCCACTGAGATGTCTACTCTAGTAACTAGGGTAATAGTTGAGCCAAGAACTCATGGATCTTACCTACAGCTCTGCACCCTTTTGGAACTGAGAGCCAGTTTGATGTAGTGGTTGAGTGTGTGGATTCTAATCTGGGAGAACCGGGTTTCATTCCCCTCTCCTCTACTTGCAACTAGATGGATGACCTTGGGCAAGCCATAGTTCTGATAAGAGCTGTTCTTGAAAAAGAGCGGTTCTGTCAGAGCTCTCTCAGCCCCACCTACCTCACGGGGTGTCTGTTGTGGGGAGGAGAAGGGAAAGGAGTTTGTAAGCCGCTCTGAGGCACCTTTGGGTAGTGAATGGCGGGGGATAAATCTAATCTTTTCTTCTTCTTCTAAGGCTGTATAGCCGTGACTTGACAGTACTTTCCTCTCCACCCTCCCGAGGTTGTACAACAGAGATCCACGAGCTCTTGGGTCCTGTGCTATGCTTTATTTTTTGTTAGAGTAGGAGAGCATATGGCATTAGACAGTGTGCAGCACATTTTGGCCGAGGTGTAATTACTCCTCTCCTGTGATTCAAATGCAGATGATGGGAAGCTGTCATTTGAAGAGTTTAAGAACTGTTGTGCTGACGGTATCCTGAGCTCTGAAGAACTGTGGGAGTTGTTCAGCGGCATTGACAGGCGTCATTCAGAGTAAGTGCTAGTCTGTTACAGACAAGGAAAATTAAAATTTAATTCCTGCCTTTCTCCCCCGCCACCTCCATTATTTGGGAGACTGGAGCACAGAATGGACCCAAAATAAGCGGTTGCCCTGCATTCATACTGAAGAGGAGGTTTGTTTATTTGTTTTGTTTTTTTAAAAAAATGCTGCATCATGAAAGTATCAGATATGGGATAGTATCAGACAGTAGGAAAGGATCTGAAGACAGAAGGAATGTGAAAATAAATTTGGATGAAACAAGGCATAATTGACATGTAATTTTGAAAACTCTGCTTCATCCATGCAAGGGATATTGTGGTAAGATCAAAAGATGTCCCGGTCTACATGGTAACAAATGAAATTCTCCCTGCCAAGCAGATTTATCACAGATGATTATATTTATAGGATATAGCAGGTAACTTAAAATGTCAAACTGATAGTAATTCAATAGTGCTGTATGGTGGTGAATAGCTGTTAAACGGTAAGCAATTATCTTATTTAATATATGTAGATATCTAGAATCATTAAGTATTTGTCGTATGTAATGCTATTAACAAAACCAATAAAAAGATTTTTTATTTTTTTTAAAAAGATGTCCCGGTAACTTGAGAGCTAATGTAGCATTGTGGCCAATAGTGCAATCTTAAGCATGTATTCTTAGAAGTAAATCCCACTGAATTCAATGGGACCTTCTTGCTAGTAATTGTGCTTAGAGTTGCAGCCTTAGACTTCAAATATTGTCTTTGCCAAGAAGTTTCTAGGTGATGTTAGACAAACCACTCAACCTCAGTCTTCCTCTTCTGCAATATGGACATAATATTCACCTAATTCATATGAGTGATATAAGGATTGCAGCAAGATAATTTATGTGACATGGACATTCTTATTTTCTTCCGTATACATGAGCCAGGGCGATGTAGTGGTTAGAGTGTTGGAATAGGACCTGGGAGACCCAGGTTCAAATCCTCATTCTGCAATGGAAGATCACTGGGCAACCTTGGGCCACTCACACTCTCTCAGCCTAACCTACCTCATGGGGTTGTTGTAAGGAGAAAATAGAGGAGAATGACGTAAGCTGCTTCGGGTCCCTATTGGAGAAAGCTATTAGCCACAAGGTATAGATAGGGGCTCTGGGGCAAGTGATGCTCTGTATTCTTGGTGCTTGGGGGGGGTCAACAGTGGGAGAGCTTCTAGTGTCCTGGCCCCACTGGTGGAGCTCCTGATGGCACCTGGTATTTCTGGCCACTGTGTGACAGAGTGTTGGACTGGATGGGCCATTGGCCTGATCCAACTTTGGCGTCTCTTATGTTCTTATGAGAGAAAGGTGGGGTATAAATGAAGTAAATAGAACAAATACATGGGATTTCAGCACTATGTAGGCATTGTACAGGAAGCAGCAATCACCACCATCCCAAAGAAAAAGAAATGCAAGAAAGCAAAGTGGCTTTCTGATGAGGCTTTACAAATAGCAGAGGAAAGAAGGAAAGTGAAAGGTAAAGGCGAAAAGGAAAGATTTACCCAACTGAATGCAGATTTCCAGAGAACAGCAAGGAGAGATAAGGAGGCCTTCCTGAATGAACAGTGCAAAGTAATAGAAGAAAACAATAGAATGGGAAGGACTAGAGATCTCTTCAAGAAAATTGGAGAAATCAAGGGAGCGTTCCATGCAAAGATGGCCATGATAAAGGACAAAAACGGTAGGGACCTAACAGAAGCAGAAGAGATTAGGAAAAGATGGCAAGAATACACAGAAGAACTATACAAGAAAGACCTCGATGTCCTTGACAACCACGACGGTATAATCACTGACCTCGAGCCAGACATCCTGGAATGTGAAGTTAAATGGGCCTTAGAAAGCATTACTAACAACAAAGCTAGTGGAGGTGATGGTATTCCAGCTGAACTATTCAAAGTCTTAGAAGATGATGCTGTTAAAGTGCTGCACTCAATTTGCCAGCAAATTTGGAAAACGCAACAGTGGCCACAGGATTGGAAAAGGTCAGTATACATTCCAATCCCAAAGAAGGGCAACGCCAAGGAATGTTCAAACTATCGCACAATTGCACTCATATCACACGCTAGCAAGGTCATGCTCAAGATCCTACAAGCTAGGCTTCAACAGTACGTGGATAGAGAACTACCAGAAGTACAAGCTGGGTTTCGAAGAGGTAGAGGAACTAGAGATCAAATTGCCAACATTCGCTGGATTATGGAGAAAGCAAGAGAGTACCAGAAAAACATCTACTTCTGCTTCATTGACTATGCTAAAGCCTTTGACTGTGTGGATCACAACAAACTATGGCAGGTCCTTAAAGAGATGGGAGTACCAGACCACCTCACATGTCTCTTGAGAAACCTGTATAAGGGCCAAGAAGCGACAGTTAGAACCGGATACGGAACAACTGATTGGTTCAGCATAGGAAAAGGAGTACGACAAGGATGTATACTGTCACCTTGCTTATTTAATATATATGCAGAGTACATCATGCGAAATGCTGGCCTGGATGAATCACAAGCGGGAATTAAGATTGCTGGGGAAAAGATCAACAACCTCAGATATGCAGATGATACCACTCTAATGGCTGAAAGTGAAAAGGATCTAAAGAGCCTCTTGCTCAGAGTAAAAGAGGAGAGCGCAAAAGTGGGCTTGAAGCTCAACATCAAAAAAACTAAGATCATGGCATCCGGCCCCATCACTCCTTGGCAAATAGAAGGGGAAGTCGTGGAAGTAGTGACAGACTTCACGTTCCTGGGATCCCAGATCACCGCAGACTGTGACTGCAGCCATGAAATTAAAAGACGCCTGCTCCTTGGGAGGAAAGCGATGGCGAACCTAAACAGCATGATAAAAAGTAGAGACATCACCCTGCCAACAAAAGTCCGCATGGTCAAAGCAATGGTATTCCCAGTAGTCATGTATGGCTGCGAGAGCTGGACTATAAGGAAGGCCGAGCGCCGAAGAATAGATTCTTTTGAACTATGGTGCTGGAGAAGACTCTTGAGAGTCCCTTGGACTGCAAGAAGAACAAATCAGTCAATCCTCAAAGAAATCAACCCTGACTGTTCCCTGGAAGGCCAGATAATGAAACTGAAGCTCAAATACTTTGGCCACCAAATGAGAAGGGAGCACTCACTGGAGAAGACCCTGATGCTGGGAAAGATTGAAGGTCAAAGAAGACGGGGACGGCAAAGGATGAGATGGTTAGACAGTGTCATCGATGCAACGAACATGAAATTGAGCCAACTTCAGAAGACGGCGGAAGACAGGAAGGCCTGGCGGGAGATGATCCATGGGGTCGCGAAGAGTCGGACTCGACTGTGCGACTGAACAACAACAGGCTGTTCTAATCCTACTCCGTTGCAGTGTACTTTGAGTTTTGAGGTATATGCTGGCTGGTGTACATACAAGATCCTCTTTTGGTGTCAGGGGCAAGATGACCTTTAATCGACCTCCAGGTTTATTGTTCTCTGATTTATAATGCATCAGACCTTCACTACAGCTTGCCTACAAGCCACACATGGCTGCTTTGTGCCTATGGGAGAGCACAGAGAGCTGGAAGATGGAATTTGTTAGGCCTGGGAATTCAGGCTGTTTTTAAAAATAGTCCAGATTCTGATCATCATTAAGATGGCGTGTGTTAACTTCACAGCAGTGTGCCTGCGTTGCACAGATAATCTGCTTTGCTATTTTTGTGCACGTGCCGGTTAAAACAGCATGACTTCTTTATAAAATATGCAAGCAATTTTTTTTGTTTGTTTGCTGTCAACAGTGCCATCCTGCACCCTTCAAAGTCAGTGGGATTAGAAGGACAGAACTCCATTTAGGATGGCACTGCAAGTGATACAACTCAGTTTGATCCCTCAGTGTATAACTTGGGTCAAATCACAGTATTGCACAGTAAGGAAGGTTGGCCTGTTTGCTGCGTGGCTGAGATTGGCGCCTTGTCTTCTATTGAATGAGAAAACATCTAGACCAGAAAAGGACTTTGCAAAACGAAACATCTTGGAAATTCAAACAGCCTGTAAGCATTTCCCTCCTTACAGCATTTGTGGGAATATTTTGCACTGGACTTCCTTGTAGATGATAATTAAGGGATAAAATTTATCCGACCAGCCAGGAATTGGAAAGCAGTGAGCAGTGCTGTTCTTGGCTGTTCTTCAGGGTTCAGAGGGTTCAGCACTCAGCATGACTCCCTCCTTCTTGGCTCCTGTTTCCTGCCTCTGGCTGCTCTGTTTGAAGTATTCAGCCATTTTGTCCACCTCTAGGATTGTTGGCTTTTCCTTCTCTTCAGCCACAGTGCTGTTTTGGGGATTCTTCTTGTCTCTTAAAAGATGGATCTTCTTCCAGAGCCCCTGAAGCACATCCTTTTGATCTGTGCTTCAGCATGGTCTAGGAATGCCAGCCTCCAGGGGGAACTTGGGGATCCCCTGTAAGTAAACCTCATCTCCAGGCTACAGAGATCAGTTTCCCTGGAGAAAATGGATACTTTGGAGGGAGGACTCTATGGAGGAGGAGGAGGAGGAGAGGAAGAAGAAGAGCAACAACAGCAACCACCACCACCACCACCAGGTTCTACCCCTGAATCTCCAGGAGTTTCCCACCCCCTGGCAACCCTACAATTGTGTTATATCTTTCTGGTGTGATGAAGATGAGTGTATTTAGCTGATTTTCACCCAGGCTTTCCTGGATAAGAGATTTAGATGCATGAGTATTGGGAAGCCATAGCCAATTATGACTTCTCAAATTATGAGCAGGCAGTGTGTGATCATTGCACAGATCAACCACTGTGTGGATTGAATGCCATTTTGTTTAAGGAAGGACTCCATGCCATTTATCTGGTTAGGTTGCCCAGAACCAGTGTGGTGTAGTGGTCAGAATGTTGGGCTAAGACCAGGGACACCTAGGGCTCAAATCCCCACTTGCCATAAAATGTATTTTGACCTTGGGCCACTTAATCTCTCTCATCCTAACGTACTTCACAGGTCTGTTGTG